GGACTGTTTATGACTTTCACAGCTTTGTCCCTTCGCATCTATTTCCTTTCTCCTTCGTCGGTTCTGGTTTCTTTTTCTACCTCTTTCAGCTACCTTTTTTAGCCCCATTTTGGAGGACCGGGCAAGCACTCTCCCACTGAGCTAAATTTTACCCAACCCCCTTTTACTCTTTCCACCATGGGCACTCATACCTTCCATCTCTCCCGATTCACTCATCCCATTTGCTGATAGCCATGGACACATTGGAACTTCGTGAGACTCAGTGTCCCCACCTAAATACCCAGAGCTACCATTAGGAAGGGATCAGCTTCCCCACTGAAAAGGGAGAAGGTTGACAGGAGGGAATATATGATGGTTGGCTACTGCCTAGCTAGTGAAGAAACCTAGCTAGACTATCTTCACATTGTATGTGAAGATCTGTGTGTGAGGTCGTGTGAGTCTGTGACCTTACGTATGAAGTATATGTACACCTGCTGAGCACAGGTGTCATATAAGTAGTAGGCAACCGGAGAAGCTGGCAGCCTAGGGCATGCTGGCAGCTTCCCCACTGGAGTGTTTAACCGCAAAGGGAAGAGCAATTAACACTAATCGCTCATCCAGCCTTGGGGCCAGACACAACCTAGAGAAACAAGACACAAATGTTCACGTGTTCCTTCTAACTCCCTGCTTTCTTCACCCTCCCTAACTTCTGGTCCTCTTTAGCCTACTCTCCAGCATTCTCCCGTTCCTCCTCAGGCCACCCCTCTCTCCTTTCCTCTCCATGGTTGATTCTGGATCTGTCCCTTTTTCCATGTCTACCTCTCACACATTCCTCTCTCTCTCTCTCTCTCTCTCTCTCTCTCTCTCTCTCTCTCTCTCTCGTTCTTTTTCTCCACCCTCCCTCTAACTTGGGTTCCATCCGTGGCTGACTCATTCTTTTCGCCCTCTCCCTTGCTTCTGCTCCCTCCTCCATCCTTTGGCCACATTGATGCCAGAATCTAGCCACTCCCAGGTACTCCATGCTCTAAACGTGCAGTCAGCAAGAAAGGTCACAAGAAGCCCCTCACCCGGGTAAGAGCACAGGCTCACCAGTCTTTGAGGTATTGTCTGCTAAAGCTGTTCATAAAATCTGGGTGCGTTTGTGGACAGCGGCCGCTGCTTACATCCACTACTCAACATTCCTGTTAAGAGGGATGTCTCACAGCCACCGGTCAAGGAGACTCCACACGGGAGGGAATGGGTTGTGGTGGGTGGGTGGATGCGTAGTGCAGGGATGTTGTGATTTGGTTTGTATGAGAGGATGTGTGTAAGTCACATGGGTGTGTGTCACTGTGTGGTTGGCTTTTTTTCTTAAAGGTGTGTTGTGTCCCTGTCGGTTTTGACACTGATTTTTTTTTTTTTTAAATTAGGGTCTTTACGTAGTCTCCATCATTCCTCTGCACCCCCAGCTCCTACCTCCTTTCCTCCGGGCAAGCTTCCACCAATCTCACTTTCCCCAGACGCAGTAGGCTGGGTGTGAGAGCACACCTACCAGCTGCCTGCTGCCGGAGGAGCTGAGGCTAGGCTGAGCTGAGCCCGGAGACCGCCTGCAGAGGCGAGTCCGAAGCAACAGCGAGGAGGGAGGGGCGGGAGCTGGCCTGGCCCGGCCGGCTGGGCGGGAAGCAGGCTACATCCTAATCCCCAGGCCCCATAGGACTCCCAAACTGCTGTTCAGCACGGAATGGGCAGACGAAGCCACTCTGCCTGCAGCACAATCCAGACTCTGAATACACCGGCATAAACCCCACGGGGCCTGACACCGTGGACCTGTCTGAATCCTCACGCTCCCCTATTTATCCCCCGGGTTCAGGATCGTGACCTCTCTAGACCCAGACTCCCAATCTACCTCCTCCCCACGACACATCTCCCCTTTGCCCCTCTCACCGCCTCCGGAGCTGAGCGCTCAGGGTGCGGGCACTCGTGGGTCCCCGGTTCCTAAGCAGCGTCTGGAGCCTGCTCCTTGGCTCCTGCCGCCGCTGCCGCCGCTGCTCCTGCCGCCGCCGCCTCTTCCGCCCGTGGAGCACAGCCTGAGCCCAGCACCGCCTCACCCCACCCGGCTGGCCGGTGATGTCAGAGCCGGGGAGGGGCGGGGGGCGGGGAGCGGCGAGAGAAGGGGGAGGGGAGGCAGGAGGGGACATGGACTGTGGGCTGGGGTTCTGGAAGACTCCTAGATACAGACCGCACTGGACAGGAGTATGGACTCTGCCTCTTCCACTTCTACTGTGGAACGGTCCTCAGATTAATTTTTCCCCAGTGGGTCGCTTTTGTGCCCTCTGACTTTTGGATGATCACGGTGGCCAGGACCCCTGGAAAGCGGAAGCAATTTGGATTGGGGGTTTTGGAAGGCCTGTGACCTCTGGGTTCTCTTGGCTACTTTGCTTTGGTATTTGGAAAAACCTCCTTCCTGGCCTTATAGGTCAGAGGAGCAGTAGAAAATGATCAAGTTTATCCATGCTAGGAATAGAAATGGGGATGGGGGTGGGGAGGAGCAGCAACAGGGTAATAATCTCTTTTACTTGGCCTGGAGCCATGATCTCTTCTGGATAATAGCAGCTGGACCCCTGTGCTCCTCCTGCCTTGCCTTTCCCAAATAAACCCCACACACTCGCCCCCTACACACACACACACACTATGATGTAATTTTATTTTCTGGGGAAAAAAGCCATGAGCTCAGCATGCAAATATAGACAACTAACAAAGCCACACTTAGCTGTCTCCTAGCTCTGTCCCTCTGCCTAGGCCCAGTGTGATAATTCTCACTTCCCCTCCACCTCAGGGACTTTCCTCCCCCATAGTCTCAGCCAGACTGAAAGAGGGAAGGGAGAATTGGAGAAGCCTTCGATATCCACTCCATCTCTAGCATAAGGGATCTCAGCTCAACCCTTGGAAGTGTCTGGCCTTGAAAAGTATGACCATCCTTCCGTGTTTGCAGGCCACTAGAATGTCTCATCTTGCCACTGTTCTAGCTTGGCAGGAGACCCTTCCAGAAGCCTTAGTGAGTCGTTCCTTCTGGGAGAAGCAGGTCATGTTCCTGCCACCTTAAATTTCACAGGGCTTCTCTTTGCTCTTTTTCCCCAGTGTGGCTGGCCGCTGCCCCTTTGAAGATAACATACCCCCCCAGAATTTGCTTTTGTACCTAATTCTGTGTCGTAGAAACAAAAATCTATCTTGTCGACCCATCTTTGAGACTCAGCAACTGTATAACATGTTGTATTTAAATGAAGCAAATCAGACAGCAGACACAGAGACTATGAGCTTCCTGCTTACTGTTTCCTCTAAGTTCATCAAGTTCAGTGTCCACCAGCCAATGAGGATGCTGTGCCAATATAAGGTTCTTCCTACAGTCAGAAATATAAAGTCTTTAGGGACTGGTACCAGATAGGTGCTTAAAAAAACAGGAAGTTGTTTAGTGTGGTGTCTTTCACTGACCTGTACTAAACAAACCCCATACTTTTATGGTGTAACCTAACACCCAATTATTAGTTATCCATTATGTGTGAATAGGTTGACAGATATTTGGTTTCTGTTCTATACACTATGGCCATTTTCTCTAAGAACGCTGCCTGGGTAGATCTGTCCGTGGAGAGTGAAAATGTCTATAATCTCAGGGCTCATTTTTCCACACTTAGACATCCACTAACTTTACACTGGTTTCACAAAAACTAGGGTGAGGCATAACGTTGTATACACCTGCCATGTCAAGATTCAGAGTGTTAAAACAAGAGGACTCCCATCTTGGGCTACATAGTGATGCCCTATCTAAAAACAACAAGGTCTCTTTATTTAGAACCTTGTGCTTACTCCCATCTGAACCTATCCTGGGGGTGGGAGGATGTGTGTGTGTGAATCTTTTTCACAAAACTCTAACAGGTTTGAGTCTGGGGATGCTCTTAGTTCAAAAGGCAATACTTCCTCGTTGCCATGACCACCACATGGGTCCAGATTCTCCCCAGCTCACTGATCATACAGTTTCTGATTAGGAGTGGGGCTCTTTGTCTTTGCATCACCTCCCCTTCCCAAGTCGATTCTGGTTTTTGCTATTTTTGCCCTTCTATCCCAGTTCATAGGATTTAGTTCAAACACTTGTACAAACCAACCCCATTACGCTTGCCCAATCCTGTGGCCACAACTTGAATTTCTCTTCACTTTTCTGACCTCTGGTTCCGCCAAAATGACAAACACACCCTGCTAATGCTTTCGAGTTTGTTGTTGTTGCTTCCACTGACTGGATTGCCCCTGTCCCAACTCCTTTGGCTCCCGTCAAATCCCATTCTGCAGTTGAAGGTCTGGAGAAGGTTTGCTTCCATTGTGGAAGTCACCAAGTCCATGTTTATCCCCCTCTCCTACCTTGTTGTTTCATTCTTTCTTTAAACTACCATGGGGGCAAGTCTTTATGTTCAAGGCCCTATAGAAATAAAGAGAAAGCCTGGATCCCTGCCCTCAGGACTCAATCTAGTGGCTGTATAATAGCAGAACAGTAACAGGGTGCATCAAGTATAAGAACAGAGGTGTAGGTGTATGTACACAGAAACAGCAGCAGGGACCACGGAAGGAGACGGCAGGACCGCCAGGATCTGGAGAGACCCTCACTAAGAAAGAACAGTGGACTCAGTCTTAATGTTCAAATACAGAGCCTCTGGGAGGGCACTATAAAGCAGCCACATAATCAATTACATATTGCTATGGTATTCTTCGGCTGTTAAGGGTGCTAGGCTTAACTTTCCAGCAACGCTAGTCAGCTCAAGAGCAGGGACAGGCCTGGCGCTGTCTGTTCCTCCAGATCCCAGCAGCAGCACTGGACAAACACCATGTGTTCAGAAAAGGCTTGTTGACTGGAGGCAGCTAAATACCCAGCCCTCCCTGGGATAACTGCTGATCAGCTCCTAGCTCACTCCTAACAAGGCACTCACAGTGAAATCTCCCCTCCGATGGTCACCTCCCTCCTGCCATCAGGGCGAGGCATCGTCAACAACAGACGCTTGCTCATTCTGCCCCAGATCTCTTTATTAAGGCCTTGCATTTGACCCAAATACATTAACAAGAGATGGGTGAGATACATCCCTGAACACAGTACCTCCCTTCCTCCTGGCCTGGATCAGGACAGCCAGAAAGGTTTAAGATTTGAAAAGTGGGAGACTGTATTGATGGAAGGGACAGAGAAGGGATGGCAAGAGAATCAGAAAGTATGGGGAGGAGAGAATCAGTAGATATGGAAATGAGAGAGATGAAAGAACTGGGCTGGTATCTGAGGAAAAGCAGCTCCCTTTCTCATCAGCGGGGGAGACCAGGACCTCAAGCACCCTGTATATAGACCACAGTGGGCCCTGTAGTAGAGAGTGACCTAGTGTCCCAAGGAGCTTGGGGCAGTGCGCGGATGGTAGGAAGGTACGTGTGAAGAGCAAGTGGGGCTGGTAGGTGGTTGCCACGGCAACTAGTCGTCATCGTCGTCGTCGTCATCGTCATCATCGTCATCGTCGTCGTCGTCATCCTCTGTGTTGATTTCTCCCGCCAGCACATCCTCCAGCCAGTCCTCCAGCTCCTCGGCGGAAGGCAGATCCTCCTCATTGTCCATCTCCATCCATATGCTGTCCGCCTAGGTGATGGCACAGGTAGGGGATGGGAGCTAAAGTTAGTGCAGAGCTGGCCCTCGTCCTCCCGCTCACTGTAGTGTACAGCCTTTGTCCCTTCTGTGGCCAGAGCGCCTATGCTGGTGAAGATCAGAGTTAGCATAGTGATGGCCCTGAGTGGAAAGACAAGATGAACTGGCTACGAACCTCCCTTCGGTCTGTCTTCCTTTACTGTTGCCATCCTGACCTGCTGAAAGCATGCATCTCTATTGCGTCCATAATACAAAAGCACCAGTGGTTACTCATGGCCAACAGAATAATGTCAGAAGTGCCAACATTCAAGGTTTTCATAAAATGATTTTCTAGTAATAGTCTCAGTGATCTTAAAGTCTAAAACTCTATTTAAAAAAATACTTGCCTAGTCCCAAACCTGATATTCACTTTTTTTTGCTGTGTTTTTGTTTTTATTGTGTTGTTGGTTTGTTTGTTTCTCATTCTTTTTTTTTTAAGATGATGAATCACACCTTTAATCTCAGCACTCGAGAGGTAGAGGCAGGTATATCTCTGATTTCGAGGCCACCCTGGTCTATAGAGTGAGTCCCAGGACAGCCAGGGCTGTATGGATAAAAACCTGTCTCAAAAACAAAAAATAAAAACAAACAAAAAAATGTGTACTTGCTTTCCAACCTTGGCTGGCTGGTTTCATACTCTGCCATGTAACCCCAGCTGGTTTTGAACTCTCCGGAGTACTTCCAGCCTTTGCCTCTCCCGTGCTTAGGTTGCAGGCATGGACCACCAGGCCTGGCTCTCAGTTTGGAGAGTTTGTCTCCTACTGAAATCTTGTACACTATGTGATCTCCACCGTAAGGCTGCTTTCTCTTAAACTCTGCTCCAAGTCTCTCAAGCAGAAATTCCAGCCTTGCTAGCATTTTATTTCTATTATAAAACTTCCCAAAGCCAGCCCTACAATGAACAGAATACTTGCCTATTCCGTTAGACTGAGAATACTACCAAAGCAAAAGCTGCACTACTCAATTCAGCTCGACACATAAGTATCTACTATGTGGTCACCAGAAGACGTCTGCCTTCAAAATATTCCAAGACTGCTAGAAGAGATAGGATGCTTTAAAGGGAAGCTCTTAATCCCAGTGGCTCCCAGGGTACCGTAGAGGGGATGATTCCAAAGAGAAACTCAGTAGAGGACAAAGAAATTGAACTGGACTTTGAAGAATGACATGATTCCAGCGAGTGAAAGATTCAAATGCTCAGATCACGTGTCTCCACCCCACGGGTCCAGCCATTTGACCAGAGTGTCTTCTGCTCCTGGGCAGTGCTTGCTTGCTTGTTAGCAGCAGTGTGAAAGAGAGCTAGCTATGCTGAGACAGCTGCTGCTGTCTAGGGCCACACCACCCTAAACACACCCAGTCCCATCTGATCTTGTTGGCGAAGCAAGGTCGAGCCCCGTTAGTACTTGGGTGGGAGATGATCTGTTGCATAGCCAGGAATGAGGAAAGGAACTCACGTCTGTAACATTGACAACTCCTATTTGTGGAGCTGACAAGTCGATGTCAAACGTCTTCTCCCAGTATGGGACCAACTGTGGAGAGAACCAAAAACGTCAACTTAATACAGGTTAGAAGTTCCCAAGCCCATCAGAGGCCGAGTCTCGGGCCAGGGATAAAAGGAGGCAGGTTGAGCTGTGCTAATGAATGGAGGGACAGCCCAGCTGTGGACCACAAGCTTGTAGGTAAAGCTAATCAGTGAAAGAGAAGAAACCTCAAAGGAAAAAGATGAGGAAAGCAGCTTCTCCCTTTGGAGAAGTAGATCAGAAACTCTGCTTTGTTCCTGGTCTCCCTATGATTGACCATATGCCTTGGGGCAACTCACTTCTCTTTGTAGAGCCCTCAGTTCCCTCATCACTCTTTTTAATATTTATTTATTTTTGATTTTTTTTTGAGACAGGGTTTCTCTATGTAACAGTCCTAGCTGTCCTGGAACTTGCTTTGTATACCAGGCTGGCCTTGAACTCACAGAGATCCACCTGCTTCTGCCTCCCAAGTGCTGGGATTAAAGGTGTGTGCCACCACCATCCAGCTACTTAAGATTTATTTTTATTTTTACTTATGTGTGTTTGTTTGAGTGTTTACCACGTGTGTGCATACCTTCAGAAATGGTATGGATCCCCTGTAGTTGAACAACCACCAGACATGGGTGCTGAGAACTGAACTCAGGTCCTCTGGAAGAGCAGCGCATGCTCCTAACCTCTGAGCCATCTCTCCAGCTCAGTTCCTGCATGTCTTAACATAAGTACTTATACCCGGCAATCATCAGTATTCTGTCACGTTCCTGTTTGCTCATTCAACAACAAATGGCAGATGTTGGGGGTTCAGCTGAGAGTGGAGCCATCTCCTGGCTCATGGAATCTGCTGACTTTCTGAATTCATGTGCAGTGTGCTGTGTCCAGCTGCTGGCCAGAAGACCGCTTTTCAGCTCTGGCACACTAATCACCTGTCCGCCTCTGGTCTGGGAATCACATACTACATCCCGTGCAAGCACATCTCATCCCCCTTCCCCTTGCCCAGGATGCCCTCTGTGTCTACATTGCTCATGAACACGAAGCAGGCATAATATTCTGGGTCCCCAACTAGGAAGTACGTAGGGCTAGGAATTCTGAAACAAAAAAGGCGCCCCAGGCCAAGTCCCCAGATTAGGAGCCCAGTGCTTGAGCCGGGCCTCTTACCAGGGGGAAGTCATCAGGGTCAATCCAGATGATGCTAAGATCAGGGTTTTCAGTGTTGTCTTGGGCCACCGCCTTGAGAGTCTCTAAGAACTCATAACCATCTTGGAGGGAGCAGAAGGGAGAAAAGTGAGGTGGAGCAGAAAGGAAAGGGACACAGGAGACAGGAATCCAGGCCTGTTTCCTCACCTCCTACACCAACACACTGCACGCCCCAGGCTGCTCGCAAACTCCCAGGAATGCCTTCCGCAGTCCTATGACCCAGCAATCACACCACCCACCCCTGGCTTCCCCTAGGCCACGTCAGGGTTCTTTCCTCACCAGGATCAGCTTCCTCTGCAAAGGCCACGATGTGGATCCCGTCCATATCATCCTCCTGTTGGAGGGTGAGGAGGGGAACAGGGTTAGAGCTGGGGGCGACCTTACTCTACTCCTATCCAGCCTCCTTGACATTGCTTGAGTCTGAGTCATGGAATGCCACCTTGTATTTCCATGGTGGTGACTCTTCTCTGAGTGACTCCCTTCCGGCTCTGGTAATCTCTACCCTCAGAGTTCAAGACTACCGTGACCTCTTCATTCACTTATGCCTGCCATCGGAGGTGTGTTCTTCAGTACAGAAACCTTGCCCCTTGACCGAGATACTGCTCTTCCCCCCACCCCCCAGCGGAAGACACAAGGTAGAGGAAGGATGGCCATTTCTAAGACTCGTACCCACCCCTGCTCCCCAAGCACCGGGTCCTGGGAGAGGCACTCACCCAAGTCTCATACATACTCTCAGGCTTCAGTTTCCTCAGGGTTGATCTAGAAGAGAGACAGAGGGTCCCTGCTCAGTGGGTGAGAAGAACATCTCCCTCCAGAAGGTCCTCACAGCTGAAACCCCCTCTGGGTCAGACCTAGGCCATAGACAGCTTGTACCCCAGAACAAAGCCAGCTTGCAAATCTAAAGCTCTGGGTGTCAGGCCCAGATCATTGCATGACTGCAAAACAATGGCTGGTGGGAAGGGGATGGCTGGAAGAGAGAAGCTGGGGGGAACGGTAAAAACTGGGTATCAGGGGATGGCTGGAAGAGAGAAGCTGGGGGGAACGGTAAAAAATGGGGTTGAGGGGTGTTTTTTTTTTTTTTTTTTTTTTTTTTGCTCATTCAATAAAAGACAACCCAGGCTCAATAGAATTACATGCCTAAACTGGGTGGCAGTGGTGCACGCCTTTAATCCCAGCACTCAGGAGGCAGAGGCAGACAGATCTCTGTGAGTTCGAGGCCAGCCTGGTCTACAGAGCTAGTTCCAGGACAGGCTCCAAAGCTACAGAGAAACCCTGTCTCGAAAAACAAAAAAACAAAAAAAAAAAAGAATTACATGCCTAATGTGTGCCAGGCCCTGGGTTCCCTTCCCAGTACCAGGAGCAGGGAGGGGCTGAAATACATTGTAAATACTGAGTTAGGTATTGGGTAGAGTTAAACAATGCAAACATGTCATGCCCCAATGAAAGAGGCCAGCAGCCAGTGGGAGAGAGTAAGTGGTACTTAGACTGATGAGTGGGTATTTCTAGTTGGGAGTCTCGTGAAGGAAGAGAATTATGCGTGAGTATAGGGCAGGCTTTCCTAGCATCAGCACCGCTGATGGAGAGGGGAGGGGTGTCCTGTGCACCGCAGAAAGCTTAATAGGATTTCTGGCCTCCAATTAGAATACCAGCAACACTCCTCACATCCAAAAATGTCCTGGAAACATTGCCTAACAACCACTGGAAGGCAGAATCCTTGCACACCCCCCCCACACACCAATTCCTCTACTTCTGCTACCGTTGAGAATGAGAGCAGGCATGGGACTGAGTTAAGGCTTAAATCCCAGTTCTGACTCCTCTTCCCCTTGACGCCTCTTTCATTGAGAATGATAAAAGGATGCAATTCAACAATAGAGAGGAGGAGTCTTCTAAGTCCCTGGTCAGAACACAGGCATCACTACTCACTTGTTGGCAAAGTCCTTAAATCGTAACCAGCCCCATAGTCCACATGCATTTACAGAAGACTTTGTATAGGGCTCAGGGCTAAGATCCGGGGCACAAAATATAATGCAGAACTACTAGTGTATCAGTGAGCACCAATGTCCAGAAGAGTATTCATCTCCAGCGGACACTGGCTTCCAGGTTGGCTTAAGTGTCCCAGCCCAGTTCACAGACCGGTGTTCTAGCCCCAAGAGGAACCCGCCCCCACTAAGAGGGTTGCTCAGTCCCCACCTCCTGTGCTCCTCCACGAAGCTGACAATCTCCTCTTCACTGTTGGGTTTGTCTGGGATGGTCACAGGCTCGTCCATGAAGGCCTCGTAGAAATCAATCTCATTTAACTTCAGGGTTAGCTTCTTTGCCACCTTTGAGGAAGTAGACAAGAGTCGTGAGTAGGAGATGCAGGGTCCGAGTGGGACCTAGTATAGAGGAGGCATGAGCTGCAGGAAAGGAGTCAGAAAATGTGGGTCTGCGGGTGTAACTTCCCTGGGCTACTTTAACAGGACAAAGACGGGGTAGACAATCTAATGCCCCTCTTCCCTTCAACTGTATAGGAGAAGAAAGGGATGAGTTTCAGGTGGGGGAGTGCCGGCATGCAGAATGGGACCAAGACCCAATCAATTTGGGAGAGAAGGCTGGGGGCAATTTAAGGGTGTAGGGAGAGCTGATGCGGTTTCGGGGAAGAGAACCTTGCTGTCGAAAGTGGCGAAGAACGGGATATAGGGATGAAACTCTTCGGCAGCATCCTCGAAAGCTTTGTAGTCTGAGGGGAAGAAGGGACAGTCATTCTCGGGGTCTGCCAAAGAATCAGCCCCTTGGCTTCTCTGCAGATCTTTCTGGACACATGGGTCTCAGGAGGAGGCCCATCTCCTCTAACCTCTAGTTCTTTGAGAATAAAATACAACTGAATTGTAGCGGAAGTTCTGGAATGCGGGGCGGGAGGGGGGGGAGGATTGGGGAATGCCCCAGGGTACAGGAGATAGGACAGATGAAGGAGCTGACCCTGGGAAGGAAGGAGACAGACAGGAAGTTCAGAACCAGAGATGCTGAGCCACTGGCAGAAGGAGGGAGGCAGGAGGACGGGTGGCAAGCGGGGTCAGAGAGGGGAGCAGTGGAGCTGTTACCCACGCTCTGAGTCTTTGCTCTTGAAATAGCCAATGAGTTTGTTCTCATCCTCAATATTCTCAAATGCCTGCAGTTCTCGTTCACCTTCGATCAATTCGACGGGGTCTTCTAGGACCTGGAAGAACAAGAACATCGAGAAGACCATTTCTGTCCTCACTGATAGGACCCAGAGAGGGATCTAGGGAAAGGCAGGGGACTTTTTCGGGATAAAGAACTAGATGGTGGTAGAGGGTGGGCATATGGCCCGTGTGCTGTACACTATTAATGATGTATGTGCAATGTGTGTGAGGTGTATGTTCTGTATCTTCTGTTTGGCATGGGGTATAGGTTTGTGATATGTTTTTGTATGTGTGGTTTATTTATGGGTCTAGTTGCATGGTATATATCTGATAAAAGTTGTGTATGTCGCATGTTATGTGTGATATATGAGTGTTGTATGTCATGTGTGCTGCACATGAATGTGCATTGTATTATGTTGTGTGTCTGGTATATGTGGTGTATATATATGATGTGTGTTATATGTTACATGTGAGCATATATGCATGGTATATGTCTGTTTTGTGTGCATTGTGTCTGATCTGTGTGGAATATGTATATCTATTGTATGTTGCATGTGGTATGTGTGCAGCATATGTAGTATGTGTGTCTGGTTTGTGGTGTCTGTGGTGTGTGTGTGTAGGGGTGTAGGGTGGATCAGTAGGGACGAAGGGGCATTGGAAATGTCAAGGCTGCCAGGCTCAGGAGAGTCCTCACATCAAGCAGAAACTCCACCAGAGTGTCCGCAGCAAATTCGCCATCGTACTCAATGACTTCATCTCCTTTAAACACATAAACGCTGTCCTCTTCAATTAGTCCTAAGGAACACAGGGGAGGTGAGCTGCGACCCCAGCCTTCCCTGAGTCGAACTTCTGGTTAGAGCCCACTGGATAATCCCAGCAGACTCATCCCTGCCTCTCCATTTCTCTCCCCCACCTACCTTCAACAACTCCTTACACCCTGCATTCTATGTCCATGCCTCAGGATTTAGTTCAGGAGCTAACCTCACAGCTGAGCAGGCTAAGAAGCTGGGGCAAGGAGGGGTTGTGGGGAGCAGGTAGGGTCTGAGGGGAGGAAACCGGAAAGATGCGGATTCTAGGAACACAGCTCCCTTGCTCTGCCTACATAGCCGGGATGAATATTCCTGCCAGCGTCTCTGAAGACTCTAGGAGCTGCTTCTCTGCTATGGCTGTCCAGATGACTTGTTGCTAACTACCCTTCCCCCATCCACATCCGGTGTCCAGCCTGTGCTGCCGCCTGGTGGCCGGGTGATGTAACATCTGTGCTCTGCTAAGAGGGGGGAGGGGAGGGATGAGGGAGAGGGTGGGGGAGGAGAGAAGTTGAAAAGGTGTTTGCAGAAGGTCTCTCTGGCTATGCCTGTATTTCTTGATTTCCCCTTTTTTTCTAACATCTAGCTGTGTTTCTTTTTCTTTGTTTCTTCTCTTGTGTTTTTTTTTTAAACTAAATAATGTTAGTATACAGAGCGAAGTATCTACATTCACTTTTTTTTTTGGTTGTTTCACTATGTAACTGAGGAGGCCCACAATACTACTGCTTTATCCTCCCAAGTACAAGTAGGACAAGAACGAGCCACCATACCCCTGCTCATGTCCAGCCTTGACCATTTTCTAGATAAAGATGGCTA